TTTAAGTTAAATATTTAGGTAGCCAGCTAAATATTTAAGTTAAATATTTGGTGGCTAGCTAAATATTTAAGTTAAATATTTAGGTGGCTAGCTAAAAATTTAAGTTAAATATTTGGTGGCTAGCTAAATATTTAAGTTAAATATTTAGGTGGCTAGCTAAAAATTTAAGTTAAATATTTGGTGGCTAGCTAAATATTTAAGTTAAATATTTAGGTGGCTAGCTAAAAATTTAACGTGTAAGTCAAATATCTAGTTTATAAACTATGACATTTATAAATGTATGAATCATATGGTGAAAAACTGACTTTGAAAAATAAATCTGTTCTTTTTTTTCTTATAAAAGGTTAAATAAAACAAAAATATTGGTGGTAATTTTTGACTGTGTAACTTTACAAATGGCACCCCATACGCACAACTCAAATTTCCTTAGAAAAAAGGGGAAAGAGTAAATGGGTGCCTGGTTCTGAAGAATCATAAAAATGGGATAACCAGCACTGAGTTAACATAGTTAACTAAAACTAACTAAATAATGAAAACTGAATCTGCAGCTGCTCAGCATCGCCTGCTAAATGAAACAAAAGTTGTGAGAAAGCAGCAATGTCCACTTTGGGATTTCTTTGAATATGACAGCGAGAAAAATCAAATTAAGTGTCTTGTAGTGGAAACAGGTGATAAAATAAGTGGAATACTTCTCAAGGGAAAAACTGCATGAATCAAGCTTGCACAAGATGGCTAACTAGGACTATCTTGACATGCTAGCTTCTCTCAGTAGCTCCCATGAAAAACAAGCAAAAGGTAGCAACGGGTTGGAGACAACTATTGTTATCGTCCTAAACTAATCGCCCACATTTTTAGTTGGCAAAATTGAGTTACACAACTATTTTAGGAAGGTGTTGCTATAATGGACTGCTTTAACTAGTGACCAAATAGCTGTTGGTTAGTTACCTCACAGGAACATCACAAGCTTGAGGATGCATTGGCAAATAGGTTGATTCAAACTATTAAAAAAATACTAGAACTAATAAAACTAAACTAAAACTAAACATTGAAAATGCAATAACAACTAATAAAAACGAGCAAATCCCCTGTAAAAACTAATTAAAACTAACTGAATTAAAAGAAAAAAGTCACAATGAAATAAAACTAAACTATAACGAAAAATCCAAAACTATTATAACCTTGCTGCAAGTTACTGTAAATCAAGGCATTTTTTTAGAACTACCAGTATGTCTTTCAGTTTTATTTCTTAAATTATAATGGTAACAAAAAACCCTGTTTATTGCTGCCTCTGAACCAAACAAAATTATTCGTGAGTTAGGAGAGGAGCGTCAAGAAGTAAGTGGAGAGAGACGGTTTGTTTTTTGAAACTAGCAGTTTGTGCACAGATGGTTTAAATAATTAAATACTTGCAAAAGTTGGTGGGGAAAAAAGGAATAAAAATTCTGATATTCAGTTACCAAAAGAAGCAGTAAAGTGTCACTTACTGGTAGTGTATTTTGATGTTTATATTGTGTTTAATATTTAGCATTTACATATTTATGAACAAGATTTGTGTTAAAAGTGGTTTATGGGTATAAAACCATCAGTAAAATGTGTTTCACCTCTGGGACGAGACGTCTTCTGTTTTTTCCACAGATTCTGTATTATTCTGTAATGACAGCTAAATCTGTTCCCTCTCTCTTCTTCCTTTTGAAGTTTGAATTTTTTTATTTCTTTGGCAACACTGAAAATAGAAGCTAGTGATATTTGAACCCCATCAATGTTCATTCAAAGCTAAAGGTCTGGTTTAAATCTGTAGTCATTAAGACTTCATCACATGCTGTTATCTATTTTATTTACTCCTCTACTTTGTGTCGATACATTGGAGTACCATCCACTTACTATGTATTAATTATACCCATAATAACAATAACTGCTCATTTATGGGCAACATAGAGTTTTGGGGATGTCTAGTCTGGGTGGAATATGACAGCCATGGCAATTCTTTTATCTGTGTCCTCAGGGATTTCTTTTTTTTTTTTCTTTTTTTGAAAGCCAACCTCTTAATTTTTAGCTTTTGATGTTTTATTTGTCTAATGTGATAACTGTATTTTGATAAGTCAATTTGTTATTTTTCCAATTATTTTTTTTGCACAATTGGCTGCTGGACATAAAACAAATTATTGTTAAAAGCTTTTTTAAAGTCATTATGTTTTAATTCAATTTCTATGCAGTTGCTTAGAAAAAAAAACCCTCAAAGCTACTGACTGTTCAGCTGTGGTTTATTCCGGTTCATTCCTTACAATAACTGTAAGTGGCGTCTTCAACAGTATATACAGTATGTATAAATGTAATCTGAATGACAGAGAGGAAACTGTTATAGC